TCATAACTGTTGTCAAGTTTTCTATAGACATCAGGACAGAGACAAATTTTAATCTGGGATATGAAGATAGGGTGATAGTTTTATGGAACTTGACAAAAGCTTCTTCAGAGTGTGAAGGGCAGCATGGGAGAAGGAAGGAATGAGCTTGTTTGAAAGTGATGGTTTTAAGTTGGTATGGGATGTGTGTTGATCTCCAATCTGAATGAGATGGGTGATAGGGAAAGAGGGGAATGAGAGAGAGGGTCAAAATGACAACCTAGGAAAACTCCTTACAACAGCTTTCTGGATGGATAGTAGTGGGACAAGACAGTGTTTTTCAAGGTCAGAGAAAAGGATGTTGCACTGAGATGTGGGATTAGGGAAATTAATAGATGTCATGTTTGCCCTAGAAGAAAACCTTTTTTCCTGGCACCCTAAAGGCATACAAGTTCACTGTCCTGCTTCAAGTCCCTCTAAAGTATGCGGTATAATATATGCTAATGCCTTTTCCTGAGACATCACTGTATGTGTCTGTAATGTCACTGTGCTTTTTTCTGGGACAGGCTGGTCAGGCTGTGTGCCCTTCTGATGGAGGAGTAGCTATGCAACTTGGAAGGGCCGCTAGTGTAAATGACTGGGCTGTGCCTGTTCTGGTCCAGGTCAAATCCCAGAGAATCAGGCCGTCATCAAAAGAGACATCTATTTACAGCCTATGAGAAACTGGATGAGAGTTTTAGCTAAGTGGGTAGTTAGGAAAACCTGTATCTCAGAGATGTTGTGCAGAAAGAATCTGCAAGATTTAGTTACTTTTCTTTCCTAAAAGATGAATTTAAATATTTGTCACATTGGAACAAGGATAGTTTATAAAACAGCTTTTGTACTCAAGTACCTTTTTGAATGGGAAGGACCTATTGTACATTTAGCCTTGGGTTATTTTTCAGTAGAGCCGCCTAACTCAAGTTTATAGAACTGTTAACTGTCAGCTCTCTCAGTCCTTACCAGTGTCACATTAAGTTGGCTGGAGGCTGACTGACCAGCTCTTCACGTGCCCACCAAACATATCCAGTCTTACCAGCCTAGCAGCGTCTAACTCCCATTTATTGCTGACCTTGAGACTCTCGAGTACTGAAGTATTAATCACTGAACCTTTAAAGCTGTAGATTCTGCAGGTGTAAAACCATGCTGTCTTAGCCACAGAAAATGAACTAGATTAGGGGTGATGCCTGTACTGAAAGTGTGGTAAGCCTCCAGGCGTGTTGAGATTTTTTTTCAATAAAAGTTTGGTTTGTTTTTTAAATAAAATGTCATTGAGAAATCAATACAAATCAAAAAGTATTTAAAATATCTCAGGAGAAAAAAGGATTTTTTTGGATAGATTAGTAGTGAAATGCATGCAACTTTTATTGATTTATTGGTTACATTTGTAACCCTTGTAAATATATGATAGTCACCTGCATAATTTTCTTTCCCTGTATTTTATCTTTACGCGTTTGTGGCCTAAAACAAAACTGGCCACTTTTGTTCCTGCCTTTTAAAAAATGTATACATGAGTTTCAGCAGAACCTTGCTACTTGTGTGAAGCTGCCATTTAACCATGAAGTGAAATGCGTTCATTGAGTTTGCCCTGCAGATATGGTCTGCTGCGGCAGTGCTGTCCATATTTGGTGGCTGTGCAAGGAGAGCCAGGTGGTGCTGCAAAGCATAGCACAGTGAAGCGTGGACAGATCTAGGTTTGACATTTGTCGTCCTGTACTGCTAAAGGGAAGAGAAAAATCTGCTTTTCCATATGCTTATGCTTTAATTTTTGCCTGCAGTTTTGTCCAGATGGCCTTGTGAACATTGTTTACTTTAAGATGCTGTCCCAGATGTTTTTGAATGCCGATGGATAAATGCAACAACTGTGGTATACCGATACACAAATTACTTACACAGTTTTGGCTTTTTTCTATTTAGCCATCACTTCTTTCTACATACGGTATACTTTTATAAGTGGGTGGGGGTGGGATACAACGATTATACTAACTTTTCAAAACTGAACAATGTCTTCAATTTGTGAGGTGTTTGAAGATATTTTTCTCTTGTCAAGATTTTTTTGCTTTAGGATATTTTATATGTATGGAGCAGTATCAGATGCTGTGGCATGTACTTTGTAAGCATGTCAGTGAGAAGGTATTGCTGCAAGTGTAGCTCGTTTGTGAGAGTCAATTTTAGTTATGATGGACTCCAAAACCATTTGTCTTTTTTGCTGTATTTTTAAAAGTGATCTTTGCTGTATCCGTGTACTGTCTGAAGTTTCTACACTACTGAAATATAGAATGTTTCAAGGTTGCAGACTGTATCTTTGAGAGTATTTTAAGAAATATTTTCAAATGGCAGGTGTCTCTAACTGCATTTAGTCCCACTCAGATATTTCTTGAAAAATAATTTTGCCTTCGTAGAGTTATGGGGAGCATACAAATAGTGTCAAAGCCTTGTTGTCAGCCACAATATATGTTTTAAATTGCCTCTACTCTAAATTTAATTATATTTTTCCATCTTATAAGCAAGAAAGTACCAAGGAGTGTACATAAAACAACCTTTTGGCATGAACATTTCATTAACATAAATAGGTCTGTTAGTTATTTCTCAAGAACACTTTAATGAGACTTCACTGTATAACTCATTAAGACAAATATATGAACTCATATGTCAAGACGTAGATTGTAGCATCGCAGTTCTTGGCATCTATTAAGTCCATAACTCATTTACATTGATGTGCATTGTTAATCAATACTTAAAACACTGCAGATGTCAGTAATGCTCATATTTAGTACAGCAATTGTGACAATATGAAAGTTGCTAGTACAATTCTAGGCTAAAATAGTGTATCTCAAGTCTCTTCATTTCCTCTAGGCTACAAGTTAATGACTATCTAACTTCACTGCCCCTTCTCTATTTAAGTAATAAGGCAAACAGGAAAATACAAGAACGCTGCACTGGTAGCATACTCCATTATGGTTATTAAAGCTTTTGTGTCTTTTTTGTTACGTTAAAACAAATAGCAGTATCTTATACATCTGAGTTTTGCTTAACAGATCTTCTGCCGCATTGGGAAGTGAAGGGAGGGAGTAGACATGTCATCTGGGAAAACAGATGACAACTCATATCCAGCTGTTGAATGGGTTGTTACAAGCCAGTTTGAACAAAGTACAATAATTTAGAGAGACTAGCAATACTCAGGTGGAAGTTTTTGCTTGTCTGCCTTCAAATGCTCTAAAAAAGCTGAGTAGTTACTACTTTCTAGTGTCTATGTAATGCACCCACATTTGAATACACACATACTGGTGTTTCATTTTAATCATGGATTTTGGGGTTTTAATCGGAGAACCTGCGCTTTTGTCACAGAATTTGTGATTTTTTAAACAGAAAGCCAGGATTCTTGCTCATCAGAAATCCAAAATAGCATCTTGGACCTTTGTACAACCTCAGTTAATAAAACCAATTTGGACAATGGAACCAACTGGGCACACCAATGTGCAAAAGTGCAAAAGAAGTTAAATACTTGCACAATGTGCAAAAATGAATAATAAATTGAACCTGTGGCTGGATTGAATTGGCTGAAAATAGGGTACAGGGTAACAGCTCCAATCTACAAATACTTCTACATCTGCTTACATATTAGTAGGCCCACTGAAGTGAGTTGGAAGGTTCCTGTGCTTTAAGTTAATTAAGTGGAAAAGTATTTGGAAAATCTGGACATGTATCAGTACTTTCTGTTGGAGACTAGTACCCTAATAGTCTATGGACTGTGCATATATATAATAAAAATACATATGGCTTTAACAAACTAGTATCTTATGCTTACGGCTATTATTTTTGATGATTCATATGGTGTACTGATTTAAACCAGAAAGGTTTAAACTGGTGATATAAAACATGATTTAAATCAGCAATCAGGAGGTCTTGATTTTAAAAAGTGCTCTTGTACTTTAATTCATTTTCCTCAGCAGGTATGGTTTAGTACTGCTTTTTACTAAACAGAAAGATATACTCTGGCTGTTCACATTGAACCACCTATATTGCTTCATGTTTATTTATTCCATTTTTTAGTTTTTATGTTATAGTATATTATTGACATTTTACTCCCAAATTGCATTAAGCTGCATTTGAATGAAAATTGGAATTGAAGTGCACAAAACACTTTAAATAAAACCATTTAAAATAATATGGATATATTAGGGATACACAAAGGGAAAGACTATTTAAAAGTAACCGATTTATTAGACAAAGAAAGTATTGTCTGTAGTTAGTGGATTGAACTGATTGTTTCTGATCTTCCTGGCCTTCAGTATTTTAGAGCTAGTACATCACAGCCCTTCTACATCATTTTTATTCATGAGTTAGGAGAGAAAAAATGCTTTATTGGTTTACAAGTTTCACTTGCTTCCTAACAGTGAACTGAATTAATAAGATAAACTGAAATGAAGAAAATACTTCCTTGGCAGCTACAGAGGTTGCTATTGCTGTTAAAAGCTGGTTTAGCACTTCAACAAATTATGGCTCCAAGGGCTTAGGAAGAGAATTCCTCCTTTTCAGTGGTTTGACTTTTTTAAAACTTCGGTATCAAATGTGCACAGGTTTTGCTGAAATTAAGAAATTCTATTAATTTTGGTAAGTTTAAGCCTTAATTTAGGTTGTCATATTTTCAGGTTCAAATATAAATTTTTTTTAATGTGGTTTACTTTAAAGACAATTTTAAAAACATTTTAAAATTATTTTTATTCACTGATGTAATTAGACATTGCACCAATTTATTTTTTTCTTACATGCATAGTGTTGTTTAAGTCACATATTGAGTATTAAAGCCTCTCTTTTTAAATAAAAAGCTAACTTGTTTGCTACCTTTTTCGCACTAATTACTTTATACCTAGCTGTTCAAATAGATAATATTTTTAAGAAAGCAGTATTTCATGGTAAAACTCTAAATGATAGATATCTAACTGTACAGACATCAATGATATTAATCTGTTGTTTAATTTTAGGTTCCTCCTCAAAAACCATAAGACTTCATGAAGAAAACAGTGAAGCAAGTGAGATATTGAAAGGAAAAGGCTCTGCAAATGGTGCATTGATTCCTGTTAAAGGAATAAACAATTTAGGGAATACGTGTTTTTTTAATGCTGTTATGCAGGTAAGATGCAAAAACAATAGCATTTTTAAAATAGTTAGTTTGTAGACATATTTAGCTTCATAAAGAGGTTCTTTATACTTTCAGTTTTAGCAGTTTTTTTGCAAACCCTTTTTTTTTCCCCTTCTCATACCCCAGTTGTTTTTTCAGTAACAAATGAACAATCCCCATATCAGCAGTATTTTGCAAATGAACAAAAAAATGTCAAGTGTAATGCACCAGATTTGTCAGTGGGTTGTGTAGCTACCTTCATTTCTAACTCAACAATTATTTGCAGTTCAGTATTAGACAGGCATGAGTAATGCACTGTATTTATCTTCCTTGTGGGTGTGAAAAGGGTGTTCTATGCATAACTTAAGATATTAAGCACCAGCACTTTGTCTACACACAAGAGGTGTACTGTTTTTATGGTGCTGTATCTTTCCCATGCAGATGCTAGTATTCTGGGTTGAAAGTGCTTCTACTGGTATTTCTTCTCAAAGAATGGGAACTGTACAGGTATAAGCATTTATTTCCCAGTATTCTTATATCTATTTTAGAGCTTGTACTGTTACAGCTAACTGCGTGTGTGCGTGCGTGCACGCGTACGTGTATACATGTACACACACCCATATTTACTTGAATACAAGACGAGGATTCTTCCCCAGAACATTATGGGGGAAAAAGCCCCTCATCTTACATTTGTATACATGGAAACCTCATTGTACACAGAGACCTATCATTAAACTGCTGCCAAAATGAGCATGTGCCCAGTAATGGAAACCAACTATGAAGTTGCTTAAATACAGACAGAACTGAGTATGACTATAAAGCACACAGCTCATATAGGGCAAACATACTGGTGGAAACTTTTATTTATTTATTTTACAAAATTTTATTAAAAAACACACATCACCGTTCATTTCCAAAGCTTCACATATTGAGCATCCTTGTTTTACCAAAACTTAATCTTGCAAAAATAACTACAGATCAAAAGCATAGAACTACATATATTAAAACTAGGGGTGCACTGATAGAGAATTTTTGGGTCAGTACCAATGGCTGATTTTTAACAAGTCATATCGGCCGATACCAATCCAATTCCAGTATTACAGCCGGGCAGCATGGAGAGTGGTGTCTGGCTGGTAAGACTGTTGTGGGGAAAGGGGCAAGCGTGGAGGGAAGAGGTGTGTTGCGGGGGGCAGATCAAGGTCCCTGCGGTGAGGGAAGGAGTGTGGCTGGGGCAGGGGCAGGAGTAGGCATTGCATAGCTGGGGTGGAGCGGAGGACAGAGCTGTGAGCAGCTCATCTGGAGGGGTGGCTCCTGCCGCTGCACACACCCTGGGAGGGCATGGTGGGGCATGTTCCTCTGGATGTGCATGTGGGGTGAGGGTGTGCTGCCGCTGTGGGCTGGGGCTGGGGTGGCGCCTGGTTCTTCCTGACGGGGGGCTGGGCTAGGACTGGGCAGTGGCAGTGGTAGTGCTGGGAGGGGACTATGGTGAATTTTTAGAGTGGTTGTAGTTCCCCCTCATAATCTCATCCCAGCACTGCTGCCAGCTGCCCCAAGTGCAGTCTGGCCCTGCCTCCCCGTGCCTCCTGGACGAGCTTCTTGTGGCTCCCTCTGCTCCGCCTTGGCTGTGCAAGACCTGACCCAGGCCCACTCCCTCCCCCACCGTGGGTGCCTCCATTTGCTCCCCACCACGCCCCTTCCCTCACAACAGTTTTACCAGCTGGACCTGACTGCTCTCCACGCTGCTGGGCTGTGCTTCTGGCCATCATAGCTGCTGCACACTGTGGCTGAATCCACCCCTCCCCCACTCTCACACCTGTAGCTTCTGCAAGCTGCTGGATTGCCTTTGCATTCAGGAAGCCTTCTATTTTCCTGCCTCTGCACTTTTTCCTGCCTTTCAGTCTCCATTCCCGACAGCTGCCCATTGGCAACGTGTAGGGGGTGAATGTGGGTACATGTGCACCCCCTGAGTATGGCGGTGCACCCCCTGCGAAAAGGCACCACCAGCACTGCTGAAGGCATCTAGGGGTGGTCACCGAACACTGGCTTGCCATGCCCTCCCTTCCCCCGCCACCGACGGTGCTGTGGCCACCTGCAGGAGCTCCTCGCTTGCCGCCGCCATGCTCCTGCCACCGACAACACCACCACGACCTGTGGGAGCTCGCCATGCCCACAAAGCCTCCAGGGGCACGTGGTATTCATGCTGCTGCCCAAGGGCATTAATGGATGGATACTGCTCTCCGGCTCTAACTCTGATTCATTTCCCTCACTACCAGATTTTTTTTTTGCCCTGTACCATCTTCCTTTTCCCTCTTGAATTCCCAAGCTCTTTTACTTATTCCACTTCCATTCCCTCTGCTTGTTTACTTCCCCCTCCCTCCCACCTCCATGTCTGTGCACTCTGCCACTCCCCCCTCCCCTTCTTCTTCTGTTTCTTCTTGCACCACCTCAATCACAGATATCACACCCCTCTCTTTCCCTGTTCCGCCCTCCTGTGGAATCTCCTTCACCATTCCTATCTCTGTCTCAGCCCCCCTTCTCTTCCTCACTTTCCCTTCCTGATTTCTACCATTCCTCACGAAGTCGGACTTTGCTCGCACATGCGTTGGAACACCCATGGCATAAGTGACCCTGCTCTCCACAGAGTGCATTTTAGGGATTCTAGGCATTCTGCTGCTCTGTGCTCCATCCCTTGACACTAGAAAACACATCATTAGGGGCCATTTTGCACATATGTGCCCTCCTTTCCACATTTGCTGCATTTTTTTGATTGCCGCAATTAACTTACGAGCCCCACTCAGGTACCTCTCGTCCACTTTTAACGCTACATGCACCCACCATGCCCCCATCCAAATACCATATTTGTCACTTACTTTGTCCACCCACATTACCTTATGGCAGTACATTTCCATCCACCTTCTTATGTCGTCCTCCTGTATCAAATCCAAGTACATTCTAACTATAATCACCCTTTCTCTTGATATTTCACCTGCTGTAAATCTGATCCCTCTTAAGTCTTTGCTCCCACTTTCCTCTTCATATTTCTTCCAAAAGTTCCCATACCCTTCTCTGGTCCAAAATGTGAAGTCCCACACCTTCCAGTTTTGGTGTGCAATCAGGATGTGTAGGTACTCCACCTGTAGTAGTTCTTCCAAAAAATCGCATCTGCTCATCTCCAATCTTGTCTCTGTCTTGTTGCTGACTACGGCTGCTTTTATCAGCAGCCTTCAATCATTACTGAAGTCCCTCATTTTCTGTGTCTTTTTGCCATGCCACTTCTGATGGACATTCCATCATCCCTCTGCCCTTTTCTGTCTCTCGTTCAAAGTGCCTTCACTTGCTGTACATGTTCCATCTCCCACATTACTCCTCTCCTGTTGTCCCTCTGTGGTCACTTTTGTCTCCTCTGCTGCAGCTGTCATCACTGCTATCAATGTTGCTACCATCTACACCTTTTGTTTCCGTCTCTCTGCCTTTGTCCATTTGCCATCTGTCTCTGGTGCTTCTTTTCCATTTTTCATTCCTTTTTCTTTTTCCCTGCCGCTTGTCTCTGCTGCCATTGTTTGAGCTTTGGTTCTCCTCTGGCCCTCCTTATACCACTGATGCTCTGTTGACCACTTTCTCTGCCTTTGAGGCATTAATCAGTCTTTCCATGCTGATGGGAACCTACCACAAGGACAAGTCAGTGTCACCCATCTGAATAAGATGCATGGTAATGTCCATCCCCCTCAGCTGACTCTTTTTCAAATCATGGTGAACCACTCTGTTGAATGTATTTCAACTTCTCCATTTCCAATGATTCCTGTTTCTTTACCAGCCTTAAATTTCTGGCAAACATCACCAAAGGGGGCCCAAAGCAGTTTACCAAGAATCTCTCTACCGCCTCCTCTCTCAGCCTGTCACATATGATTAGTCTGGAGCCAGACCAGGTTGTCCTGTGCCTCATCTGCATCTAAATTTTTGGAGAATTACAGGACTTATGACAAGAACACCCAGTTCCAGTCATGCGTAGGGGTCTAATTAGCACATGTATCCTTTGGGGGTGGGGTGGGGGTGGAATACACGCATATACTGAGCAATGCTGAGCTGTGGGATTGCCATGGCTAGAAATGCTGTTGACTCTGGGGCCCAGTCCAATGAACTGTATGGTAAATCATGAGCCTTTTTGCATAATTTGTACTATATATATATAAAAAATATATAAATATAGGTGTGGCTGAATTCAATTTTTATTTTTTATAATTTTGATGGATAAAATCTATGTTTATTTTTAAGCATTTATGTCAGTTATTGATGTAATTTTCTGGATTGCACAAAATTAGAGATGTTTTCAATTTTTATCAATTTAAATGTTCAGAATTGTGCGGGGCAGACAATTTAGTAATGACAGTGTACTGTTAAAGGCTTTATAAATTCACATGGCAGAATATAAAAAGTAAATATCCATAAATCATACCTGCTTTGAATCATTCTGTTAATTCATCAGGAAAGAGCCGGGTGGGCAGAAACCAAAAGAGGAGGGTAGCAGCACTCTCGGAGCTCTGGGAACATGTCCTCCATCCCCTGTACTTAACTGGCCCAGCCCAGCCTGGGTAGATCCCAGCTGACACTGGGCTGGAGCCTTGAATAATCTAGACTTTGAGTGGGGGTTTATCTCCCTCCAGCCTGCTCTTTGCCCCCTACTGAATGAGCAGCTAATTGTTTGATTGATGAGTCATTAAGCTAGAACCAGCAGGTAATTGCTTAATTGATGAGTCATTGTTTTCCTACTTAACCTCTCCACCCTCTGTCCTTCTAGTTTCTCTTTCTCCACTGTCCAGTAACGAGTAAGTGTTTCCTGCTACAGTCCACTTTCTATACATTTAAATTAGTACTGATGGAAATAGTTTTCCATTCGCCTATGTGTGTGTGGTGAAATCAGTGTTTATCAATACAAACTGAATCCCACCAACCCTATATATAAAAGTAAAAACAAAAGTGCTTTTTGAAAGTATGTTTGTAGAATACCTGTGCTAAAACTTGCAGCAGTTTCAAAAAAGGTAGAATGCATCAATTCTGGATGAACTAAGTCTATGGGTACCTGTAGTAATTTGCATATATACAATTTATTACAGATATGTTTATTTCAAAGTCATTTTTTCAAATTTGTTCTACACTTACATGTGCTTAAGGAATGCAGGGTCTGACAGTAAGGAGGTGGAGACAAGAGCCAGTAACGGGAAGAAATTGGTGAGGCAGAGGACAAATGCACTATCTGACACCCAGATTTATTTTCCCTACAGTAGAAGTGGGAGGAGGACAAATTCAAGGCAGACCTCCAACAATTATGTGCCTGGAAAATTATAACATAAAAAAATCCATATATAGAATCTAATTATTTGAGGGTCATCTTATATTCGAGTAAATACATTGTGTGTATGGGGCAGTGTATACAGTTATACACACTGTATAACCTTCTGGAAATAGTATATCAATACAAAATCAAAGTTAACAACATGCCCAAGAAATTGTAATCTAAAATTATTTAAAAATATTGCTTCAGAAACAATTATTGAATATTTTTGTGATATAAATGTAGGGATGTAAGAGTACTGTATGCTTGATACTTAAATAAAAACAAGAGTTAAAATTGATAAATACTAAAATAAAGAATACATTATTTGTTATATAGAAAAAGGAATAACAACACAGGCATAAAGACAGTTTTTGAAGTTATAGCTGCTTCTTGGAGAGGTACCAAGTGTGAGACCTGCTTCCCCTAAAGATGACTTTTATGAAATTCACTGGGGTCTTTGTTAAATTTTCCTTTATCAGGGGTTTTCAACCTTGTTTAACAAGTGTACCCCTTCTATCTCAAAGTTTCAGCTCATATACCCCTTTATATTTTTTTCTTATTTTTAAGTGGGGGTGCAGATCAAGGCCCTATGGTGAGGGAGGGAGTGAGGCAGGGGCTGGTGCTGCTCAGCCAGGTTGGAGCAGGACACGGCATGGTATGCAGCTGTGAGCGACTTGTCTGGGTGTGGAGACGGGGGTTTTGCTCCCACTGCTGCGTGTACCCCAGGAGGACATGGGGGGGCATGTGCCTCTGGATCTGTGTGTGGGGCAAAGGCAGGCTGCTGCTGCTGGCGGGGGGGGGG